TAACCTCCGCGACCTTTCGATTGCCATGTACGATGCGCTCCATTTTGCACGCTGTCGGTGACATCTGCCCGCGGTTGTGTATGGTTAATATTCCCCTAATTTGACATGATTGTTCTTGTCATATCACTTCAAGGGTCACGTCCCCTGAAATACGTTATCTCCCTCATACTGCCCACCTCGCACTTGTGATTCCGTGCATACCGTTGGCTACATCTCGTGGTAACAGTCGCATAAAACTCCGTACCTGCATCCATCAATGTACAATATTCTGTGTGTGTTGATCAATTCTGACAGCTGATTTAGCCTGCCCATTTGTAGTTGCCTTTTTGCCTGTCTTTGTTGGTTTATAAATCTTTCTTTCTCGGCAGTCACGTTTACTGTCCACACTCCCTCCAAATGCCTCTCTGCATATGACCAGACTGTAAGGTTTGCTCCAATCACACCGCAGGATGGACGCCTACTCTTTTAAACAAGTTCAGTGGGATCTTTGACATGCTCAAGGTTTGGCACTTTTTCATGGTCCCTTGGATAGTTTTTCTCATTGACATAAGAATCCTGTCTATAGCGACCACCACATAGACCAGATTTTATTGGTCCCCTGAGCAGTCTTCTTGGGTACATATGTGTAGTTGTAACTGTAATAACTTACTCACTGCACATTTCTGTAATCTGATGCCCTTGGCCTGGCCCAATCCTCCCCGTATAAGGTCCCCTAAATCCATTTCCAACCTGCATGTAATGGACAAGATTGCCTATTTTCTGATAGCTGGGGTATGGAACAGATGCTGCCAGGTCCATTTCACTCTCAGTCTCTGAACACAACTGATGATTATCTTCTTTGCACACGATTATCCCATCAATCCAACAGTACAGCTATCTGAAACATATGGGTCTACTCTTAGCTCTGAAGGGTTCCCAGAGAGACATGCTTTGGTTTGTAAAAAGAGGTTTGTCTGTAACATCTGCCTGCACAATACACAATTTGTGTAATACAGGGCCTCACTGAAAAGCAGTGTCATCACAGAGCAGGGAACCCTAATGATGATGGAAAATAAAATACAATAAATGAACATACATAGGCAACTGACATAAATAGGCAACTGTTTTATCATCTACATCATTTTTCACACAGCATTATCAGTTGTCCCTGAAGATCAGGATGCCTATAGTATACACGAAGGAAGACATTACCAGACATAAATTATGGTAATGAAGGAAATTTGACTGTCACAGTGACAGAAGATTATCATCCAAAAATATGAGGTCCCTTTTTTTCAAGTCATAACTTCTTTATACATCACTGAAACAAAACCATGTAAAAGTCAGATAAAACGCAGCACAAAGAAGGAAAAAAGGTCAATACACCAGTCAACATGCAGTTCCACATTGCACAGCAAGGTGGTGCCCAGGATCCATTTGAGACCAGGCCACATCTATTGATTTGTTTGCAATATAATGAAACCAATAAATCTCTCAGTGGTCAGCAGGTACTGCAGTTCCCCTACATACAGATAGGGGAATTTTGACCATGAATGAGAGATTGTCCCTGGCTACACAGTCCAAGTTGAACGTCCTTGCACAGTCTCAACAGCGATGTGAGAGTCCCAACTCTTGGATTTTTTTATCAAATGAACAAAAATGACATTGTCCTTTGAATCTTTTTACCTAGTACCTCTATATAAAACTTTAATAGGAATATGTACTTACTCAGCTGGAGCTTCATAGTAGAAAGGCTCCTGCATGGCGACAGTGCGAAGCTGCTGTAATGTGTCTGTGATAGTGGCACTAAACAACAGAGTCTGCCTCTTGGGTGAAACTGCTGCTAGAATCTCATTGAGGTCCTCACCATAGTTGTCCTGTAGAAGTCTGTCTGCCTCATCTATAACCTGTTAGTGTAACCATAATCAATAGGTCAACAGTTTAAAAATTTGTTCGTCAAAATTATCACCATCCAGGTGCCTCAAATATTAAAAAACATCAAAATTATTAATGTCCTTGACTATTTGAAACACAAATTGAACATTTACCAGAAACTTGATCTTTTTTAAACTGAAGGTGTCACAGCTGCGGAGGTGGTCTGCTATCCTCCCAGGTGTGGCAATCACAATGTGAGGTTTCTTGGACAGCTCCAAACCCTGGTCTATCATACCTATCAGGTAGAATAAGATATAAGGAATATAGGTAAGATTATTCAAAATTCAAAATTAATCACAGAGTTGATACACTTGAAAACACTTGCATTAACTTTTCGATGTACATTGTAATAAATGTGTATAGCTGTTACTGTTAAGCACATATGGAATGCCAAAAAATTAACTAATTTTCAAATATCATCTTTATTCGCAAGTGTAAGACAATATAGGAAGATAATGTATCTCTTTATAAAGTATTTCTTTATATTTGTCTAATGAATAATCCATCTTTTGTTCATGGATTCATCATTTAGCAGAAATCAGAGATTTCAAATCTCTGGGAAGTGCTGTATTTAGAGTTTTTCTGGATTAATTGGCACAAAGAGAATATGGTTACTGGTAGTGAGCTACTTTCAAGTGATCTAGGACACTGTCACAGATACCTTGAAGGCTGAGGGCATGCAATGTTGTGACAAGCCTAAGTGGGGGAGGAGTTGACGAAGGGTAGGGTGGGGTAGGGGGAAGATTTAAGAAAGGCTAGGAGTGGGGTAGGGGGAAGAGTTGAGCAAGTGTCACGAATGACACGGTGGCGTAGAGAAAACACGGAGACAGAGATAACGTGTCTTGTAGTCTGCCGAATCCCTAACGTTACCTTTCTAGAACCCCTTCCTTCGAACAGGTGTCGTTGCTACCTGTTCGAACACCTGCTCAACACCGCGTGCGCACGTGGTGATCACGTGCGCAAGGTGTGTTCGAACAGGCAGCGAACCCCCGCCCGAAGGAAGGGTTCCAACTATAGCTACTACAATGTAAGTGCTTAATGTATAAGGTAAAGTACAAGTGCTTAATGTATAACTGTCACTTCGTGACACAAGGCTACAAGTGGGGTAGGTAGAAGAGTTGAGGAAGGCTACAAGTGGGGTAGGGGGAAGAGTTAAGGAAGGCTATGCGTAGGTAGTGTGGGCATATACCCAATAACTACGGGGGTGGATTCACTTCTTCCCAGTCTGGGGGAGACCATTATGATTAATACTACCAACTTGACCTAAGGTCAATCTGCAGGTACAATATCCCTCCCTTCCCGCCACTCTAATGTATTCAAAAACCTGCACACACACATATATAGAAAAACACACCCAAAACAAAATACAGGCTCATCCATATGACTGGTACTTACCCATGCCCCCTGTGATGACAGCATCCCTCACCCCAAGGGGTTTCCCCAGCACTCGGAACTGGTCTGCAATCTGGAAGGCCAGCTCTCTGCAAAAGGATCAACATTTATCCTCATGGGTCATGGAGAAACTTACACTCTAAAGTGTCACACATGTTTTAAAGTAAACATGAGCACAGCACATAAAGGTAAAAGCTGGGCAGTAAAACCGATATCCGTGCTGATTTTGATGGAGGTGTTAGAAATAGAACATGCTGGGTTCGATCAGGACACAATTTAGCCCTTGGCTGCAATGAGAGTGTAGCCAGCCCATCCAAGGGGGCCTGTATACCCTTTTCCGTAGAGTGTATTTGCCATTTTAATTCTATGTAATGCATTGTAGCCTCTTGGAATTTATCGTGAAGCGTAATGGAGAGCTCTCACAATTTAGCATAGAGCATTGTCGGGACCCCACCACCCCATGCAGGCCCTCACCCAATAACAGTAGACTACTACTACTAGTATGTAAACCTGCCAAAATCTTGTATCTATCTGACTAACCTTGTGGGAGTGAGAACTAGACAATAGATCCCATAGGGGTCCTCGCTCAGCTTCTGCAGGATGGGCAGTGCGAAGGCAGCTGTCTTCCCACTGCCTGTCTTGGCACATCCTATACAGTCACGACCTGAAATATTACATTAAAGGAATGGTGCTGTATCCTTGGGCAGTAGAGATACACTTCCTACAACATTCTCAACTTAACATGATCTACTGAATGATGATGATGACAAGGATGATGATTTATACTGGAGCTTGTATCATCATCATCAAAAACTTATCGAAGTCTGTGCATTCTGTTGTTCACTATCTGAAGACTATTTTTGCCTTTTCCAGTCTATCTAAATGGATCAAATATAATGAATTTATATACGCATGAGTATACGCTATTGAGGTTGTCGGACAATTATCACCAGTATTAAACCAATATCACTTCCTTGGACTCATGAACTCCGTCTGCTGCGAGGAGCCGTCTGACGTCTGCTATAAAAACGTGCTATAAAATGATCCCCATCACAAAAGTATGTGATCACGTACCTTTGAGAATCGGTGGTATACAGTTCTCTTGTACAAAGGTAGGACTTTTGATACCCAAGCTATCGCACTGTTTTATTAGCCATTCGTCGATCCCAAGTTGAGAAAATTTCTTCTTTCGGGAAGGTTTTGTCGTCTCGCCTGACCCACTGGCGGCAGCCATTTTTCCTGCTTGGAATGATCTACTAAGCTATCTAAAATAAGGGGATGGGTGTAACTTCAAAAATATTCCTGACAATACGTTTAACCAATGTTAAATTTAGTAACAACATACGTTTTGTATAATATAACGTAGTGACAAAATTTTCAATTTTGATAGAATCGTCACTAGTGCTATATTATCTTAATTGATGCAGTACTTGTACCCTAAATATGAATAGTATCTTCCATTGTATCATTGGACTGCTCCATTATCATTAGCTTTAGGTGTATGTAAAATTTTTTTATCTTTTCTCTGAACAATAAAAAGTATTCTAAGTATATAAAATAATCTATTTGTTGCTAGTTTATTTTTGTATTTTGTCGTTGTTACTAATTTTTGTCACATTTTCCAATTGTTTAAAATCAACCCCGGGAATTTAATGGATGGAACCACCGGCAAAGGCCCAATCTCGCGAGATTTCCTAACGACGAGATTCCAGCGGGGGATGACGACCTCGCCATATTTGCCATTTCCTGCTTACGTGAAACAGCCTCTTCTTAGAATTTCTCCTTTTCTGAAGAAAACACGGCAAGCAAGACTTCCAACCGTACATCTTTTAATAGTTAAAGATACACGGATGTGCGCGACGTCGTTCGTTACAGCTAGATACTTTTCTGTAAGTTAAACTTGTTCGCAGAAAATGAGGTGACGAATGCCGGGCTTGACGTTCGGTCAGGTGGGATTTTCGCCGTGAGTACGTAGTGCACTCACCTTCACAAAAGGATCCATTTTCTCAGGTAAGAAATGCAGGTCGATCTTCCTTTTATTTGTGAACAATAGGAATTTTCGTGAGTGATGTGGCAGAAAGTATTAAGGAGAGGGATATCGTGAGAAGAGCAACAAATGATTTCCCAGGACAGAAGTGTATACCCGGGTGGTCCACACGCAACATGGTCCCTCCTCCAACTTTTTCCCTCGGTGCAGCCTGGCATTGTTATGGTCATTGGATCTCACATCTATGTTAACTTAACTGTGGTCTTAACTCATATGCAGCTCATACACTTGAATATTAGTAACAACCCGAAGTCTTGTTTGCTAATAATTTTTAGACAGCCCGTTTTATAATATTTGGTGGCAACTTATATGTCAAGTGTGTGTTGATAAATTTGTTGTTGTAGATGGCCAGTATGATAACAGACAGTGCACATTTTGCTTGAACGTCAATAAAAACTGCATAACTAGTACTTGTACTAGACATTTAATAAAGCATATACATGTGACCCATCCAGTGTCCTGTTCAACTACATTTTTTTTCATAATTTGATTTTATGCTTTTTATCTCATGGATATGAGGTAGCAGTGTCTGTTCTTGTTTCAGTTTTCCTCATAATTTTAATCAATATGTTATTGACAGAGTGCCTTTTTCTTTCTTTTAGTTATATACACAAGTTCAATTCAAAACTTGAGTTTTCATGGTGTACTAATAATTCAGTAGAGTGGTTTCCAAGATCTCCCATTCTTTTCCAAGACTTTTCTTGATGGAAGTTGAAGGCACATGAGTGGAAATGCCAAAATCATGACAGTAAACGGCTGCATGTAGTAAGTCACTTATACAGTCATGTGCACATGGGCAGGTCCGCCGGCCCACCCATGCCTTATGACATTTGCAGATTTAGACTGTGTGGTATGATGCATGGTAAAATGACAAATACCTTGTTGGAAGCCAAGATTTTAAGCAGACAAATCTTTGCAAACATGTGGCCGATAATAAGCTAGTGCTAGTACTGCTGTTGTGTTCAACCTCTGTTTCAATTACAGAAAATATCTACCAGAAGACAAGCAATATCCCTCCACAATGTACCCACCGTCAGTGCTGCTGCTAGCTACAGTCCTGGTACTTCTAGTATCTAGAGGCACATTAGGAGAAGAAAAGCCCAAGTTGTACAGTAACCAATGGGCAGTCGAGGTGGTAGGAGGAGAGGCAGAAGCAAGAAAGCTAGCTCAGTCACATGGATTCTCTTATAAAGGAAAGGTGAGTACCGGTACATCCGTTTCAGAATCTCAACAATTTGCCAAATTTACCGAATTATACATTGCATGTCAATGGCATAAGACCCATCTGTTATGTGAAGAATTCAACATTAAGTCTGGGAACTTTGTTACAAAGAAGTTGCACTAACACTTGATATGTGTAGGTAACAGTATCCAGTTGCTGTACCTACCACCATCAAAGAACTCTTTAACTAAATCATTGCTATGCTTAGTCTTTCACTGCCACCAATTCTGATTGGTTGACCACTCCAAACACTGATCCCTACTGCTACAGTGCTACCAGGAGAATCCTGTTGTTTGTCAAAGTTTAAAAGCTGCCTGTATAGTGGAAATGGTGGGAATAGGTAAACAAAATTGGGATGTGGTGTGTTGCTGGCACAGAGCTTTTGTTCCACCTACCCAATCTTGGGTTGATGCCATTTTGTCGTAAGTGTCCTTTCCCATGTACATGGATGGCTGGGAAAGGAATGGAGCCAAAGCAAGAAGTTAGCCTGTCTGTTAGGTAATCTGACTTCTGACCTTGCAAATGGCACCTCCTGTAAGCTTGTGTTATCGTCAGTATCCTAACCAGTGCCACCATTTGTGCTTGAGCCCCTGCCAAGATCCTGGTTAGATCCAGGAAGTAGAAACATGGTGACGATAGTCCTCTGACACAGAGAACCCGGAGCCAGTGTCATAAGATGTAAAACATTGAACTGTGAATCATTCATTCTTATTCACATTTCCCATAGCAGTCTTGGATCTTTGGACAAATTTAGGAAATTTCCTGCCACAGTTGTGAATTTCCTGCCACAATTGTGAATTCATTTCTATTCTAGTCAACCACCTTGCCTGCATCCTTACTGTTAATGGTAGTTTTGTTTGTTTAGTTTTGCAAGGGATGCTAAGAAAGCAGGCACAAAACTGTTGAAACTATTTTCAGATATATACCAAACATCTCAAGTGAATACAGAATATTTGTTCAATATACTGTCTCAATACTCAGACAATAGATTACATGTTGCTTCCTCCAGAAATTTTCCAAAAAATCCTGTTGATTCATCAGAAATGTGTATCTGCTCTGCCGTCCCTGATGACTTTCCCAGGTTTATGCTTGCATGATTCACAGTGTCAGCTGCATAGTTTATATACACAAACCTTGCCCAGCATCAGGCATGGGTCTCTGTTTCAATGAACATAAAGCACTATGTATATTACTTTAGAGACCCAAAATTGAACCTTGATTTACAATATTGACCTCAGCTGTCATAGACTAACACTACTGTACATTCCAGACAGAACAACTGTATTGTGCCACTACTCCTGTCCTCGGCCGCTATGGTTTATATCTCAACAAACATTCAACTCCCTCAGCTAGGGTGTAACTAAACTTCCACCAGACCTATTGACCCCAATCCTCTTTGTCTACCCACTTTATGCCAACCTCGCTCTGACAGGAGTGCAACAGTCTAGAAAAGTCCTGTTGCCCTTGGTTTATACATATATACTGTTTTAATTTAAGCCAGGAATAAGCTAGGTTGTGTTGCCTATGCTAAATGTTTGGTCCATGTACTTCTGATAGGCAATTCCTTAATGAATTAATGTGCTTGAATACAACTTTATACAGTTTTCTGTATACATTAAAGTGATATGGATATAGATGTGCTTAGGTTAAACTGTATTTGTGTATATATAGTCTACCATACATCTGAAGTTCAGATCAAGTTGTCTTCAGTAAGATCCTAAATGCAGCCTGACACAATGTACTTATGTAGGCATACAATACATGGCTGATTGGATCTGTAGGAAGGATGGACAGATGGCTGCCACACTACTGTGATTGATACACTCATTAATAACAGGAACAGATGTCACTGGGAAATTGTGCCATGTGTTTGAACAGAGTGGTAGATACTGGTAATCATGTTGTTACCAGAATTGTATGGAGTTTTACTGTTAGCTAGTACGTGATGAAATGCTAAAGAGGACGTCTATGCACCAGTATTACAGATTTTCGTCTTACTTTTGTGTGGGGTGGAGAGGCCACCACAAGACCCCCAAAAATAAAACTACTGTAAACATTTCAACTCAAGATTTACAATAGGTTTTAAAAAATTGCAACAGTCAAGGCTAATAACAGTATCTAGAAATACTACATAGTAAATTCTGGCTCCTCATTAGCTGAGAGCATTCAGCCATGTAACAACATGTGATTATGCTGAATGGCAACAATCATGTTACAAGCTAATCAACTTTACAGGAATGACACACTAGGGTAACTAGATTGCCTGTAAAATAGCATCTGTACTGGAAGTGATAAAGATAACAGTGATAAAAGTACCTTTATCCTATTTTCAAAGTGTTTTGCTCAAGCTGATGTTGTTAACCTCCTGACGTCAACTCCCCAGTGTCAAGCTGAGCATCAACTTCAGGGCCATGATATTTACTCACTTGGAACAAGTCTATATCTGCACTGGATCTTTTATCATTCCTGTTAAAAACACATGCAACCAAATATTACAAGACAAGAGGAAGTTCGGTACCACATAATTGCTTTGGACAAACTTTTTTGAACTTCCTCTGAGCTGAAAGTTTGTTATTCCAGACACATGAAGTTGCCAATGAACCAGATCTCGTTAAGGCTAGAGAATTAAGACTGATTGGCCTAGCTATCCAAGCAGATATCCTTCCAAGAAAGGTCAAGTCGTGTTCTTCATTAACTAGAGGCAATGAAGACTGTACCCGTTCTTGATTTGGAAAAACAACCAAAATTCAATACTAATGGCTTCAATGTTTGAATGTTACATGTTTTTATGCACAACCAGTTTGGTCATAACACATTTCAGTACATACCTTTCTTAATTGGCACACAAAGATCCTCTTGTGTATGTTTATCAAGTATCTGTTGACTGTTGACATGACTGTGATGTCTATTTTGTCATATTCTATAGCGGGGCTCAAAGTCAAAATTCATTTTTGTAAATAGGTGATTTGGATGGACAGAAAATTTTAAGATGAACAACATATAGTTAAATGTCAGCAAAACGTACTTTACAAACCTCACTGCCTCTCAACAGAGCTTGAATCTGAAGTTTAAAATTTCAAAGAAGTAATGCAAGAATTTCAAATTGATGATACCCTAATATCATAGCGTGCTATGCAAATTGAATAATTCAAGATTTTCAAATAGAACCAATTTCGGTCACCCCTAGATTTTATTGTGTATAAATTGATTTATAATTAAGAATTTGCCCCAAAACTTGACCCCACAGTCCACAGAAGATGATGAATAGTGCCCTTCACACACCCCTGACTAATTTTTTCCAGACAGAGCCATTTGTCTTTCTTCTTTCCACAAGTGGTAGGTCACAAAATCAACAGAACCAGTAATGTTGTCACTGATGCTGACCAGTATAAATCAGCTACAGTTTTTGTGGTGTGTAGAAATATTGTGCATGTGAAGGTATTCAGGACTGATGTTGTGAACTTGTGGTCTTTTCTACTTCATGAAAAATTCATTACGTTCCCTCGTCAAGGTAACAGTCCAGCCCAATGATATTGCAGGGCCGTGGAGGGGCCCAGAGTATTTCCCAATGTATGGCAAATTGCAATGTTGGTTTGATAAATGTGTTGGGTGCTTTATGTATATGTAGAAGGTTGGTGCCTGAGACCAACACATAAAGCTTCATCGTGCAATTGACCACCTCTATGTCACTATCTGAAATGATAAATGCATCCTTTACAAATAACAACTAGTATGAGCTAGAACCAACCTTGGAAGGGAACTATCACCCATATATGGATGTATGGAATTAGCTCCATATAGCACAGCTGTAAAAGTTATGCCTATACACATGTATATCACTAAATTATATACATGTATTTATCAAAAATGCAAGATACAGGTAATTTCATGTTTGGATGGCACAACCTGTCAAACTCTGATATTTATTACATTACTCACTGCAAATGCTTGTATGTGTGTTTTATGCGCATTGTTAATCTCCCTCATATAAAGCAATAAACCATTTGGCTGCACGAGAGCAAAGTAGAAATGTTGTGTGAATGCACTCATGGGGGCCAATTTTCATCCTCAATCACACACAAAGGAATAACTTGTAAACCCTCAGCCCATCCGGGTCACTCCAGACAAGTTCAATAAAGGAAATGGAATGGCTTCCATTATCTCTTGCAGGCTTTTATCTTGTCTGAATTGCTTCCTTGTTATTTCCACAATGGCCATAAGTATACCCTTGAACCTCACTAATCCTACTCTTTATCGCCTAATCCCGACAAGAAGACTTGGCCATAGCCCTCGGGAGTAGCATCCATTACTGATTTGTGGCACTTAACAAGGTTTTATTGGCCCTTCCGTATCTTAACATCTCTAAAAGCATCTATAAAAAATGTGGATGCTTGCTTTCATAGCTTATGATATGGCTGCCATCTGGAACAGAGAGAATGGCTAAGTTAGATCTAGAGAAACATGGTTATGTTGCAGAATATAGAGAACAACTGTAAAAGCTACTTCATATTTTTAAAAAGGTAGTTCACAATGAAATATTGATGTTGCCTTTGAGTACGTACATTTCCTCTGATGTAAGTGCATTGATAGCAATTGATAGCATCAGTTTGATGTTACTGTTGTATTGATGTGTGTGTTTCATTATTTTTTCTGTATAAATATTCTAGAGTATAATAGTACCTTTATGTACATAACCCTACACAATATCCAGTCAAAAATTAGTTGTACAGCTCCAATATTTGGTACATATGCACCAAGCATTTCAAGTTCTGATACCTAACCACAATATTATAATTTACTCAAATTACTGTGTATTTCATTAACCATCTCATTGTACAAGGTCCCATGAAAAATGCATGGTTTAAACACAGATGATAGATGCCATCATACTGGATAAGGGTAGACTCCCACTAACCATGAAGGACAAGTAGTGTTGATTTTCCTGTGGTCCAGATCACACCCCAGGCATGGAGCCAAATAATACTGCATGACATGGATGGGAGATTTAGAGACAAACCAATACGTCATGTGAAGAAAGCGTGGTATAGTTAACTTTGCTGCATTTCATTCTTGAGAAAACAGCTAATTTCTAGGGGGTATGAATGTAATTTTGGGCCATTGAGTGTACTTTGAGAACGACTCTGTGGCTGAATGTGATTAGTATAGCAAGCATTAGGATGAAAATTGCCATGAGTCATTCATTGTTTCCAGATAATTTCATTAGCTAAGCATGATTGTATAAATTCCATCCTATATATCAGTTTTGGTCCTAATAACTCTAGATTAACATAAGTTAGTTCTGACCCACAGGAGTATGTGCCCATTTTGTTTATTACTGTGGTGTCATAAAAATCAAATCAGTTCAGTTACTTGTGTCAAAATATCATTAAAATGATTATTAATTTCACCCTTATGTACCAAGCATATTCAACAACAGGTAACAAGTCAAGTGGCTTAAAAGGTATAAAGCTGTGTGGCTTTATGTACATGTAGTTTTCTTTTATCTTTTTTTATCTGGAAAGTGTCATCTTAACAGCTTTTGATGCAGGTCAACTGTAACGGGAAAAATACCTGAACGGGATCACTGCAAGTATAAGCTATTACTAGTAATATTTGAGAAGATTAATTGATTATCAGCTTCATGCACTTGTTCCATCAGTGGTATTAAGTTTCATTGGAGCTATATAAAAAAATATAGCACATAAAGTGCCTCATAATCAGAGCATATTTCTTTTGCTCCAAATATACTTCTGTGCTGAAAGCTGTGTACGACTCCACATTGTATATTGAAGTGTCCAACATTTACAGTGTACATGTACTTTAGGAAATGATACAGTATGTGCTTGAAGCAAACATACAGTAGATCTGGTACAGTTATTGTAGACATGCCAGAGGTTTAAAGAGTAAGCTTGCCACACTGATCTTTGGAAGCTCACCAAGATGGAGTTATTTTCTTCTGCTTTTCTTCACCAACAGGCAATAATGATTACAATTTTAGATGTTATTATATTTGAAGGGCTTCTAAATAGAAGTTGGAACCTGTCAACAATTGGTTTATACCACAAAATCACAAGATATTGATTGATGACCTATTAAGAGGAAAGTCTTAATTAAGTCTTGATTAAACCCTTACACTTCACAGTGATGCTTCGTGCACTTGTTGCCAATTACAGTTAGCTACTTGAACATCTGCAATGCCAGGTCAAGCATTAAATTGATTCTAAGTTGAAGACCTGTTCCAGCATAACTTTATCCTCCTGTCCTTCATGCTTTAGTCTAGAGCAAAGCATGGCCATGGGAAGTCATTTGGAACTGGGTAGCCAACTAGAATAATGATGTCAGTGGTCAAACCTCCAATTTTAGGGTCTGAAACAGATGAAATGAGCCTTTAACGAAGATATTAATATGTTACAGATAAGAAACGAACATTTTCTTGTATGATGTGTATAGTTACCTATATTCAGTAAAAAACTAAATAGAGTTGTTCAATATGGAATACATCGTGTTTAGGGTAAGGGATGGTCGTTGAAAGCCTGTTGGGAAATGTTGGTTTGTAGTTTATGAGAAGCTACAATGTAAGTGTGAGCAGGGTTTTATTGATACAGAGCTTGTCCTACAGTAGGAGTATTTTTAACCTTATGTCTGGGTCAGCTATGTTGTTTTGCTGGGCATGAAGCCAATATAACCTCTTGGAGCCAGTATAACCTAAGTGGTTTTGAAGGGGTCAGTCTCCAAGTTGTGCCACCTACATAGCTGTTATTTTCAGGGAGTTTTGTATTTGATATTATTTGGCAAGTTACAGGTAATGAGGAATATACCTATTATGCATATAACTCCACAAGGGTTTACCATTACCTACAGAACATGATAACTTTCATGGTGGTTGTGGATGCTGTTGAAATGTCAGCACGAGTACAAATGGTGACATGTAGGACATCTATGCCAGCAATGTAGATGGAATGGTGGGGCATGGTGCAATAAACTGGCACAGAAATCTGCTGGGTCACCAAGAGCAAGGACACTGGATAATCATCTGCACTAGTCATTGACCCATGGACAGTTACAGTCCTTAGATTACTATGTATACTGATTGGTGTGACTTAAAGGTTGCAAAAAACAAGCAAGTGACACCCAAAGCAGCCACCTCTTCAAGCTGGCAACAGTTGCTATAATGACTATTTTCCCTGGTCCCTGGTTTTCCTCACCTATAGGTGCAAGCATTAAGTGACCTGCCCAAGAAGGCCACCAAGAAGACCACATAAATCTCTCCTGGGTTGTCTTTTTGGGTCTTGTGGATGGCCTTCTTGGGCAGGTTTGACTGTACATGAAAGACTAAAGATCACTGATACCAAACATACATACATGTGTAATACTCACTGGTATAAGTTTATTGGCTTGTTTCTGTATGTGTCTCATCTGTACTTACAATGCTACTCTTGGAATTGCAGATCCTGAATGGTATCTATCTGTTTGAGCACAGAGCTGTTTTTAAAAGGTCACTGAGACAAAACCTACAAAGGCATCAACGACTAAGGAGAGAACCTACTGTAAGTCAGCAGCCTTTTCCAATGGGATCTCTTAGAAATATTCAACTATTTGTATGGCTTTTGATAATAGCATCAAGTAGAATGGTGTGTAACGGATTTAAGTCAATATTTTCAATTTAAATTCATTGTCCTTTTTCCTGTTTATACTACTTGAGAAGACTAATTGTCAGGTTAAGTCATACTGTTTAAAAAATACTGGTAATTGTTTTGTTATTCTCCTCACAGGTGAGATGGCTGGAGCAGCAAGAAATCAGGAGGAGAGTAAAAAGAGACCTAAGACAAAAGAGAACAATTGAATTTAGTGATCCTGAGTGGTCAGCAATGTGGTACCTGGTACGTCTTGCCTCATGTCTGTTGTATCAAACATCATTCAAATTTTCTACCAGATCTAGCCACTCCTGTTTCTTGGAGAATTTCTTGGCTGAAAGAAGTAATCAAGACTGCCAAATTCTGGGTCTATACAAGATGACATACGAAGCAATATGATGCTCGATTTTGATAAGATTTGTATCCAATGTGTTTTGAAAGCCGGTTAAAAGCATTGTTTGATACTATTCTAAACTATCAACCAAGCAAGGTGCAAACAGTGCTGTTAGGGTATTACTTTCTCTGTGCTATCCTGTTTAAAACTCCACTGTAGTACTAATATGTCAACTTGTCTCCCTGTGCAGCATAACCCCAATAACCTGGACATGAACGTGATCCCGGCCTGGGAGAAGGGGTACACAGGGCAGGGTGTGGTGGTCACCATCCTGGACGACGGCATTGAGAGGGACCATCCTGACCTGGAGAGGAACTACGTGAGTTGTACTGTGATGTCTGGGCCTAAAGCTTGAAGGCATTCATGTACTTCATGTATTATGTGGTCTAACCTGTACATGGCTGAGAGGATGGACAAAGATGCAAAGCTGGCCTATCCCGAATCGGATACAGATTGCCTCTCTTGATGGTTTGAAACAAAGGAAAACTCTTAGAAGGGAAAAAGAAATACTGCACGACTATGAGAAGAGACGAAGAATAGATATGTCCATGCGTGATGAAGTGCAGTGAAGTTAAAAGAATGAATACTGTAACCACTCAGGGATTGCACTAATGGCCGTTTGATGCACTTATTGATGTATAGATAGCCAGGTTGACGGCACTGAAAGATTACCCCAAACATTATCCTCCCCCATGAGCAGACCATTAGGGCTAATGGAACAATAGATTCACATCAAACTGTATGCACAGAACTTCTTTGTGGACTAAATGTGGTTTTAAAGATCCTCTTAAGGTACTTTATCTTCCAAAAGAGTCGTGTGTCTTTTGGTGGGGCCCCTGGCTTCCATTACTTAAGATATAATGAGACGCTAGGTATAATAGCCAGTGTAGACAAGCTTTTGGAGGTCAGTTCCAGGTCACAAGGCAACTAGTAAATCTATGGGAAGGTACTAATTGGTTCCCTGACCTTCTGTAGGATCCGGATGCGAGTTATGATGTGAATGGAAATGACCCGGACCCTATGCCGAGGTACAACCCAAGCAACGAAAACAGGTGAGGTGGTCATGCATCTTTTTTGTACGTCATTGTCAATGTAGTAAAAGTAGGGTCAGGAGAAGAAAATATTGATAAATCTTTACGTAAAATTTAAAAATTTACGTACATGTATGTTAAGTATATAGCACATTTTTGCTATAGCACATATTTGACATTTAACTTTTCAGCGTCAGAAAAATATAGAAGAACATGTACTTGTTTTAGAAGCTATAGACTTTCAGATTCAAGATCTGAAAAGAGGCAGTTAGGTCTGTAATAAGATTTGGCTGACTATCTACATTATTTAGTGTTGTGCACCCAAAATACATATATTTCTGTGGAGCTAATTCATTTGGGAGGGAATGAAGTTAAGGCTTCGTCATGTTTAGTCTGTTTCATTGTTTCCTGCAGACATGGAACCCGCTGTGCTGGGGAGGTGTCTGCCGTTGCCAATAACGATGTCTGTGGGGTCGGCATCGCCTACAACTCCCATATCGGAGGGGTGAGGATGCTGGATGGTGACGTGACTGACGCCGTGGAAGCCAAGTCCATCGGGCTGAGACCACAGCATATAGACGTCTACAGCGCTAGCTGGGGACCGGATGACGACGGACGAACAGTTGATGGTCCTGCATCTTTGGCAAAGAAAGCATTTGAAGACGGTATCAGAGAGGTGTGGAGTTCATTGCTTGTAGATTTCAAGTGTTAGTGTTATGGCAGATTTGAACTATCATTGTTGGAGTACAATATCTTTTCTGTGGCTCAAGTATTCTTAACAGAGAGCCTGTATGTGTTCAAACTTTGTCAATTCCACATGCATTTCAGCCTTTTTTAGTTTGATTTTATTGTATGTTCGTGTAGTTTGGAGCTCAAGTAGTGCCTGCATGGGAAGGCTTTTTTCATACTGTTTGTGTTTGTGTTTTGAAAGTTTTCCTTGTGTTGCACAGGGTCGTGGAGGGAAAGGCTCCATATTTGTCTGGGCGTCTGGGAATGGCGGTCGTGACGAGGACAGCTGTAACTGTGACGGCTACACCAACAGTATCTACACCATGTCAGTCAGCAGTGCCTCCGAGAGAGGAAACATCCCCTGGTACCTGGAGAAGTGCTCCTCCACCCTGGCAACCACCTACAGCAGTGGCTCAGGGGCAGAGAGGCAGATAGTAAGGGTGAACTTGTACTGTAGCGAGATCACCTGGAAGAATTTAACAGGCCACACATACTAGCGTCATTAGATGGGTTGCTGCTTCCACTGACTTGTTAAATTGTTCATTGACTTATTGAATGGCTCTGGGATAAGCCTGGAATCAAGTATCTGAGAATTTACAATTGATCTTAGAAGGTTTTAGAGGAACTTCTCCAATCAGTTGTACCTGTAAATCGTGCAGGGAATGGGGGAGAGAAAAAATCTATGTATGGATATTGGGTAAGGTCAGGGTTTTTCATTGTTTTCTAAGATATGAATTGCAGAATCGAAGCACCTTAGGTTGTCTTTTTTTTTTTAAGAATTGATAATCTTTTCTTTTATTGGAATTATGATAAAATATCTGCCTATCTGTGAAGAGTTTTAAGGTCTACCACAAGATTCTTTTCTCCCAGGTCAGTACAGATCTAAGACATCGCTGCACAGAGTCTCACACAGGGACGTCAGCTTCTGCCCCCCTGGCTGCCGCCATTGTCGCCCTGACACTGGAGGCCAAGTGAGTCTCAACTGTTGTACTGTAGACTCTCATATACAAACTAGCTACTCTTAGGGGAAAGGTCATTGATCTGACAAATAATGGTAAATTCATTTAGTTTCTTGATAGAAGGGGAAAGGATATGTTTACAAAAAGCCTTTCCAATATTGAAAGTTGTATCCACATGTTTCCTGTGTACATTCTTAAGACATTTCTATAGATGCCAGTGTTTTTCATTGTATATCTGTGTTTTATATCATGGCTTGTGTAATATTGATAAAACAAATGTGTCTCGGCAGTCCCAACCTAACCTGGCGTGACTTACAACACATCGTGGTCAGAACTGCCCGGCCAGACAACCTAAATGCTGATGACTTCACAACCAATGCTGCTGGATACAAAGGTAGTGACTTATGTTCACACAAAAGATATATGTATGGCACTGCATAAACTAGAAACTACTAGTATATTTTAAACTCTGAAAATGTTAGCTTTGCTTATCCTCACTTCTGTTGTCATGTTTCTGCAGTGAGCCATGCCTTTGGGTTTGGCCTGATGGATGCAGGGGCCATGGTGAACCTTGCCGAACGATGGCAGAACGTTCCCACACAGAGGGTGTGTTCTTTGTCTGCTATGAACAGACAGACGTAAGTATCAAACTACTTGTGGAAAACAGTCCATATGGGAATACTATTAAACATAGCAGGACATGGCATTGGGAAAAAATCTATAAGCTAGTTCACTGTGTGGTGCATTGTATATTTGTCAAACTTGAAGGCCACCTTAGCCCTGGTCATTCTTCATGACATATTATTCACAATGCATCAAAGATTCAAATGGCATTCATGCACTTTAAACGTTGAATTAGCTCATTGCTCCTATTCTGATTCTTATCTTTGGTACAGATACATTGAATTTCACAAATACACTGTCTATTGAAAAAAAAAACATTTAGCTTGTTTCATACATGTTGAAATTATTGGGATGTGTTTTCCCCAACCCTTCAGTTCCATCCCTGCGTCTAACCGACTGGTCCTCCACAAAACCACTGACGGGTGTAAGGGCACAGATAAGGAGGTGACCCGACTGGAACATGTGCAGGCCAGACTCACCATCACAGCCATGCGCCGCGGAGAACTCCAGATCTACCTGACCTCACCGTCTGGGACCAGGTCAACACTGCTGGATCACAGGTTAGTGCTGTCTGATGCAAGATTGGTTCTCTCAGATTGTGTAGCAATGTAAAGGGAATGGCAGTCAGTTATGGTTATGAAATGAAGGCTACTGATAAAGTCATCTGAGCAAGATTGTTACCTTTGTAGGTTTTGTTTTTGGTGTCCGTGTGTTTGCTTGTGTTTCTGTGGTTATTTTTTTCCACATGCTAGTCACCTCAGGGCCACTGACAGGAAGTTAGGTCAAAGGATCCAGAAAAGGTTATCTTATTCGCTACCTTCAATTTCCTGATATATGAATGTCAATTGCCTTATGGGAACCAGTGGGAAATTCTTGGACAGAATCAGTAGAAAATTCAAAATAATGAATAAAACAACAAATTCACAGAAATTCTGGACATTTCACGGAGGTATGAAATCTTGTGTACAGGTCCCGGGATGACTCCACTAGTGGCTTCAATGGCTGGGAGTTTATGACAACTCACACGTGGGATGAGAACCCTGAGGGAACATGGACACTAGAGATCAACAACATGGACAGGCATGCAGGTAAGCAGCTGTCGAGCCAATACGTCAGTGGAAGAGGACACTGCTGTTTCATGTTTTACTAGATGTGTTCATGTATACTATGAGATATGCTATCCAGTTTTTAGATTTATATTCAAATTGTTAATATAGCATGTTTCATGTGTGTGACATATTTCCTCATTTCTTATCTGTTTTTCCTACCCGTTCAGGCATGTTGAAAGAGTGGACCCTTGTGTTGAGAGGAACATCGGAGAGCCAGGGCAGCCATGGGAACCCACACACACCCCACCCACAGCTCTGTACACAGACAGACAGCAATGGAGTTTGTATAGGTAGGAACTTCACACACACACACACACACAGTGTCCATTTTTTACAGATATGTGTGCTACATGTATTGTTTTTTTCAAAGCTGTCTCCCATGACATGGAAAATGATAGAAGAAATTACACATGATATGTTTTGTTTCCTCTTGCATATTTCTTAGAAGGGACAGGCAAGTGGCCCTTACATGATTGAACTAAGTTGATACTCCAATTTAACATGTGATATAATCGCATGTACTGCTGAAAATAAGATCTTCCTAAGACATTGAAAATGTCACTGGCCTGTCCCTTAGCAGCTCTCAAGTTCAAAGTGTTGTCTTCTTGAAATGTTATTGCCTTTCTTATGAATGTCTGACATACATGTGTGTAGCAGCAAAACTAAGCATTTGAAGAGAGATGAAGTCAGCCATCGCTTTTTAGTGCTCAACTCTAGTTTACAGCTAACACAGATCCAAACATCATCAGTGTGCTGAAGCATTATTAGTTGTGTAGATCCTGCACCACATTGACTGTTCCTGTTTTATCCTATCCTTCCCACATCAGGAAACTGTGACTAGCTAGACTCTTGCAAGTTGTAGTCATTCAATTGAATCTGTGTAGTTTTAAACAATCAATGAAAAGTCCGGAATACATATTTGAGTACTAGTAATATGTGTGTGCAGTTTTGCCTATTTGAAATCAGTGGGGTTTTTTTGTAACGAATAACTTTTTCCAACTTGTAGGTTAGTTTGTCTTCTATCTTCCTGTTAATTGTTTAGTTGTAGATAGGTAAGTAGTGAGGACAAAGTGCATGACATAGTGAATTGGTGGTTGGTGGGATGCATGTTCCGCTGTGAGTCACTAGGGGGCGGGAGTGTCTCTCTGTCAGCTCGGGTGCCCAGGCAGGAAGCCTGGTCTGCTTTTTCACCTGCTCTTCCCTTTGTTCTGCACACCTGGTCATCACCTGTCCATTATTTATCTCATGATGCAAGGTACTTTAGGACTGGTCAAGCAGTACCATTTTGAGCAGTGACACACTTACTGTAGATTTATGGTTACAACATCATGACAGGCATTGTAAACTGTAGTTGTGTAAATGCCCACACATTAATGATAGTGAGAATTACAAAACTTTATCGATTTTTTATATGTAGGAAAGGTGATTTACTCCACTTTGGGATTTAATCATTCATTGAGCAGTTTTCATTTGACTGTCTATGGCGTGTGTCACATCAGATCCCTGTTTAACTAAACATGTATAAAAAATTTTTTTAATCAAAATCAATTAGATTTGATTTTTTGGCGTGTGAAATTTGGCAGAGGAATAGATCTACCGTGTTGGCATGATACAAGATGTGTTTTTGTAACTTACAAATGTACAATGTAAGCCCCCAAATAGACCCTAGACCCCATCTTCCCTGTATCCTTCACCTGTCCTTTAAACACCTTGTCCTGCCAAAGCTTGCTGCAGTAGTTTTCCCAGTGCTGCTGTCAGACTCCTAAAAGTGCAGCTGAACTTACTGCTTTAGGTCGCCAATGAACTTTGCGTTGTCTGTTTCTAAAAGTAAACTCTTGTGAAATCTTGTCTGAAAGCCACAGCTCCGAGGAGTTGTGAGTTTCACATCAGATTTTACATGAACCTCATGTCTCATCTGCTTCATGTTCTCACACATACAGGCGAAATTCTCTGTTTGTTTATCCTAACAACTGGAGCCAGGTAGGGTTTGGTATAGTGAGAGAAACAGTTTTTTTTTTTTGTCACTGTGCTAGACCCCCCTGCCTGTTCCTGCTACATGTATGTTTCCATGTGATTTAGAAGCCTCTGAGCCTAGCCAGACTGTGACTAAAGCCTGGACTGTACCATGTATTGGGCTGGAATTTCTGCATCTTGATGTAGCCTATTCCAGCTGGAGTGCTATCCAGGTTCTTGTCATGGTGTGGATATCTTTTCTAGAGATTTGTAAGATAGAATGTGAGCTAGTGTATGTTAGCAAAGCCTGTGTAAGTGTGAGGAGTTTGGCTGTGCATGTTGATGATGCCTATTTGAACCTGTCTTGTCTCCTGCCCCGACAGCCAACTCTGCCGTCCGCCTCACAGTTTGGTCCCACGGCCCAGGCTGCTGCCTGACGCCCCTAGTAACCCTTATATGCTGCCTCGTGGTGGCTTTACAAGGAGTGGGGCCTTTTTAGTACTCCTGAGACATACGATTCCGACATTCCTGCGGGTAACAGCCATTTTCCTCTTGTACCAATGTTGTTCAGTTTGTTGTTAGTTTGCTGGTTCCTATGTACTTTGTATCATGGGATAGCAGCAGGACATGGACCACCCCCAGCTTCGCACAAACTAACTGCTGTACAAAATGACTAACAAACAGATGTGGTGAACTGTGGTTACTCTGCAAAATGCTCACTGCTGATTGCAAGAAGTGCCCAGGGGTGCAAAGGCTAGATAACAGTCCCTACTTTTTTTGTTAATCTTTTTTTTCCTCCACTCTTTCTATTTCAAAATTCTTGGCGTAAGGGAACCTAACCATTTGCAAGATTTGAAATTGAAACAAATGATTAACCAGAAACTACCAATACATTCCTTGTCAGAGGGCTCAACCCACCAAGTCCCCCCATCCACACCCTTGGCCTCTACAACAATAAAGCAGGAAAGTACGTCCACTGCCACTTCTACAGCTGTTAAAACGGAGCGAAAGTCCACTACTATGAAAACAGAGGCAGTTACTCCGATACCCAGTGCAGCAACTTTGGGTAGGCTGTTTTGCATTGAGGGTGTGGAAGTTAACAAGCTGTCTCTGCCTGTGGCTTTATTTCATGCTCTGTCTGACTGTCTGTCTAAAACGTTATCTGTAAATGTCTGGTGAAGGGAACCTTTTGGGTTAACAGAGCTTGTAAAATGTCTAACCAAACTAAATGTGCCGATACATTCCTTGGCAGAGCGCTCTACCCACCAAGTCCCCACATCCACACCCTCGGCCTCTACCACAATTAAGCAGGAAAGTACGTCCACTGCCACTTCTGCTGCTGTTAAAACGGAGCGGAAATCCACTGCTGTGAAAACAGAGGCAATCCCGACCCCGGGCAAGGCAACGTTGGGTAGGCTGTTCCTTCCTGAGGCTAGGGCTGGAACAAAGTGGCAAGGAGTGCATGTTTGGGGGATAAGGATACAGCATAAATTAGACGCACAAATTAAGATGTTTGCACAGGGTCTGCTGGACGGCACCTCTTACTGGCTGAAGATCAAAGCTGTTGCTTTCTCCTTTTGCGGTGATAAGTTTTGTGGTCTCTACCTCTGTTAACACCCTTAACTGCTCCATGGCCCATGTCTGTAAACTCATCTACTGAAGAAGGCGACATGATGGAGATATAACAAACTGCCTTTGTGGGTTACCCTTCAGTCAGACTTGTTTTGAGTTCTTTTCAGGTTTAGTAGTAGTTATATTTTAATGGGTAGCCACCCCTGAATTCAGAGTACAATACATAGGTAATGTTCCAAAATTTTGAATAATATGGATAAATCTCCTTTTAAGCCATAGATACATGTAAGACATTGTAAAAAAAAATGCCTAAATATCTTGCACGCACACACACACACACACACACACACACACACACACACACACACACACACACACACACACACACACACACACACACACACACACACACACACACACGCTTATTTTAAAGCGACGGACATGCATATGACAGGAAATTGTTAAAATGAAGATGAGAAATGATATAACCTTTTCTGGGACCAATGATCTAATTTTCTGTCAGTTTCCCCATCTTGCATAAGCATGTGGAGATAACTTTAGACTCAAGCAAACACACAAACAACCTCAGTAGGGCCTCTTCGACATTATACTCTACCAGGTACTATACAGTGCCCAGTCTGATTTTCTGAATCTTGATTGTACTCATATGAAATTTTCTTGTACTAGTTATAGACTACTCTGTCACTTGCACTGTGAGAGATAGCAACAGCTTTGAACAATCACTACTCAGTTTATATAACTATACTTGACTATACTGGAAGCTGGTGGTGGTCCATATCTGTCAGTCATTGTCTTGTATTCTTTTCCGCTGTTCACATGAAGCTCATCTGTCCGTACCACCCCTTGAATATGAGTGGTTTTGATCCAAGTTTAGCAAACAGTACAACAGGTAGGTCAGGAGTTTGGATCAATACACTTCAAACCCAGGGGTGGTCAGGCTGATCAGCTAGCTATGATATTGAATATATGCTTATTTGTCTGTCTTTCCATCTTCCCTTGACACTCCCTCCCTAAAGGAAACAGGCAAAAGCATGCATGCGTGTTTGTTTATTTGACTGTACCTTGCCTGCTTTTGCATGCTAAAAAAAGCCAAATGTTTAGAAGCAACTTGCATGCAGCTCACTTAAATATGATAAACTCACTCATGGCACCAGTCTGCAAAAGCACCTGCAGGACCATAATGTATAAGAAGCAAAGTTGTCACCATGTGTATGTGTAGTAATCAACTAACTGACAGTTATTATTATTATTATTGTTATTCTGTGCATATCATGTATAGACTGAAGATATGTATAGACTGAAGGACTTCATGAATTGGAAATGTACAGATTTGGACAGAAACAGAATGAGATGAAAACAGTTGTTGAAAGCCTGCTTGGTGTTTGTAATGTTATATCATACTTAGAGAACATTGTTCTCCATGGGGCCCTTCCTTATTCCATTTTTCCTCGTTTTCATTTTCACCAAAAAATTATAAGATGTTTTTCAACCAGCGGTTTGGTCCCTAATTCGGATCCATCTAAACCACGTGAGTGGCCCTCGAGACCAGACATGGTATAGCAATTTTGTAGCCCATTCTTCCCAAACCTAAAATTCATAAGAAATACCTCTGTGCTTTTTGTCTGTTTTTATTTCTTTTATTTTCAATTTTTTGCCCTGTCCTATTCTCAAAGTCCACCACTCTGCTTTCCTTTAGAAGCAACAAAATCACATTAGCCTTGCCATCCAGGCATTCTGTAGAATTAGAAGACAAACCATTGTGAATGTTGGAAATATCCTTTCATCAATTCCTTTCCTAACCTGCCTGGACTGTGAGTCTGCATTTTTGTAGCTAACTTTTTTTATGTGCAAAATGCCAGTATCAAAACTAGTTTATAACCAGCATGGCTAAGAACAAGATTACAGCTAGAATAGACAATTTCCCATGTTAACATGTGTCCAGCTAACCTTATACTGACCCATTAACCTCAGCCATTGGACAGCTCATTACATACCATTGATAATATCATTCATTCCCTCTGAATTGTGACAAAGTAGTATAAGTAGGCAACATTTGCCATTGTGGTTATGTTTTGTGCTAGTATTTTTATTGTAATGGTATTGGTTAGATAGAAGTATTTATTACAATTTTAGTGATATTCCAAAGCAATTGAAAGTTTGATACATGAAAACATCAGTGGCTCAGTGAACAACAGTTGAATAAGTTGTTGCTACTTCATTTCACTTGTAAGACAAAGCTTGAGCTTTTATGGATAACCTTTGCCCAACAAAACCAGAATAAATCTTGGACTCATAAAATGCTTTCAGATGAAGCCACTTCGAATCACAATAAATAGGCTTATTCCCATGAATTATCAAAGGGGCTGGTTTAACTTTCTGTTTGCTTTTTTCCTCCCAGAATGCAAGGAACCAAACTACCTCTTGGACGACATGTGTGTGAAAACCTGCCCCAATAGGTACTACCCATCAGCCTCCAGCGACCAATCACAGGGAAGGACTTGTGAGTCATGTGACAAGACCTGTCTGACCTGCTCTGGTGCACAGCCCTATCAGTGCCTTACCTGCGGCCCCCTCTCCCACCTGTTTAACAACACCTGTTTCCCCATGAAACAGCTTCCTCTCGACCAAGGGCCTTACCTTTTCTATGTAGCTGCCGTGTTCTTCTGTGTCCTAGCTGTCGTTCTCTTCTTTGTGATCTTCGGTATCCTGCACATGAGGACAAACAATAAGTGGTGCTTCAAAGAGGAAGTCCAGTATGTGGATCTGAACGGCCTCGGTCAGAAAGATCGCAATGGACTGGTCACGGAGGGTGAGATGTTCCTCAGCAGTGATGAAGAAGATCTATACAGTCGAGAGTGAGGGGGTTCAACCCACCCCGCTGTAAAACTGCTGTCAGGAATTTTCAACATGAAGTTATTATGGACACAAGCAGGAAAATGTTATGAAACTACAAACAATGGATCAATCTGTCTGTATTTATAAATGGGTTCCCTTGTATTTTAGAACAACTGATCAAATTATGTATATACAGATATATGTATGGGATCATATTGTTTGGGGGTGGGAATGGAATTGATGCAGCTATGTATGACATAGAAGAACAAGAACCATATTTTCTGTCCTGAACTGTGACTGTGCCTTTATTTCTATACATTTCATTGATTGAAAATCAGCTTACATAATTCTTTTGCAATGTCAGGCCATATTCTACTCTTACATGTACGAAGACAAAAGGAAAGTGTCCTTGTTTCGTTTTAGCCTACTGAACAAAGTTACCTGGAAAATCATAGAAATGTCGTGCAATATCATCATAGTCATTGTGTAAGGAAGGAAAACAATAAGAGAATTAAGCAGAATGTGACCAATGAAATTGGCGGAGGGGACAAATGGCATGTCCAAATTGTGCAGCTCAACTTCATTTGTTCAGCACAATCAGATTGTAATGATCCCTCTAACCTCAACTTCTGTAATACAAGATGATAGTATGGATATGTACGATAATCTGGTTTACGGTATAAACTAAGCATACATGAGTCGATGTATTGTGGGTAATATGACAACGCTGAAGGCCCCAGAGACAAACAGAACATGTCTGAACATGTATCAATTATGATTCAGACAAGATCTGTTTACAAGTCAGGGGCCTACACCTTTTATCTCGTGCATGCACAGTCCAAGCCATGAACAGTCTGGTTCTGCCAGACTCAGTTCCCCTTACCTTACATTAGGACATAGATGGGTTTCCACAGTTGTTGGTGTTGTTGTGAAGGGAGTCTATAATAGCAGAAGTCCTTGTGACCAAATACCTTCAGAGAAGGTCAACAGTAAGACAAGTTGAGGTAGAAATTCAGGTGCTTGTTACTGGATTCATGATGAGTATGTTAAGCAATGGAGGTGGTGGCTGGTACCTATATGAGGTAGATTAATAATATATCAGGTTGTTAGTGATACATGTTTTGTGTAGGAAATTGTTTGTCACGATGTTTAAGGTCTTGTATTTCCTAATGCATGATTACGAAGATTTCAAACATCTATGTCAATAACATTTTTGGCCCTTTTCCTTTGTAAGATTGTCAAAAATGATAAATCCAAAGATGTGAGATTATTAGTATATGTTGTTTATCATGGTGGAAAATTGTGAGAGAAAGGAGAGTTATTATATAGATGGAGTGGTAGATCTGTAGACATATATTGTACAGGTACAACAAAAAGACATAGCTGTGCCAGTATAGGAGGGATTCTGTGCCACTGCAGCTGTAGATAGCAAAAGGAATGGAGGAAATTCCATTTTGTACCAAAGAATTGGATTATTTTTGATAAAAGATGTCCACTCCATGGTGCAGTCTTTGAGCTGTGAGTTCTGTACTGTTACAGTAGCTTGTGTGGGTGGATATGCTTGTAAATATACAGGACTAATAAATCACTGAGTTGTAGTAGAGCATGTCTCCTTTTACACAGGACTGGATGTTCATTCGAAGGGAGTGAATCGCTGACGAGGTTTGACATATTTTTATTTCAGAGCACTGACAGGGCAAACTTTAACCTTCTCCCAGCTGCTTAACTCCATTGTCAATCAAGAATTGGTAGCCAGATGGCTTCTTCAGTATGCTAGAAACAGGTTTGTGACCACATGGTTAAGCCTCTGAATCCAGTTTTCCAGGCCAATGTGATACTTGAGAGTTCAGCCAAAACAGAATTACACATCTCTCAAAGGCCCCCTTTCCACTAGTCTGAGTGACCATACAGTGACCAAAATTGTGAGCCTTGATTTCATAATTGGAATACAGTATACCTGAATGCAATATGTAAATGTGTACAAAAGACTCAACCTGTTCTTTTGTGAAATTCATTGGGCGATCACTGAAATACTAGTATTTGGTAGCTTAAGGTTGCTGACTAGAAAGGAGATGTAACAGGACACGGATTGGAATATGCTTTGTTGCACTGCATTTTGTAGTGGACAGACACACAGTTCAGATCAGCTCTACTCGCCCATTTGTTCATTCTCTATGGTGTAAAATCAGATGCTGTAAAATCAGCTGTGGTGGGAAATGAGGTGTAAAAATATTATATTTCCCATAGAAAGTAGTGCATGTATACGTTTGATTTTTACCATTCAAAATGAAAGTTTAATTAATTGTGAGAGTGGCATTGTTCCATGTTGTGAACGAATATACTAGGGATAAAAGATAATGCTGACAATTTGTCATGGCTTAATAACAATTTTTCTTTTAAAAGGGAGATATAAAATTCCAGGCAGTGTTGCCTGCTTGTATCACCTGTTTACTTTAGACTTGTGATTTTGTTTTAATTTTATTTCATCTGTTGCTTCTGTCTTGCCATTATACTATAGATTCCCCATGCTAACCAAGGTTTAACTATACAGTGCTTCATGGTGATTTTCATTATTATTGTTAATTTGGGATAAATATGCAAGTAACTGTCACTGTGATGTTTCATTTTATTATTTGCCTGAAATGATAGATTTTGTCTTGAAGTTGTCAGGGAGTTATAAGAAGTGAATTATCTGTGTGTCAACAAAATCATGGATATGTCATTTTAACTATGCATGTTGTACACATCTGTTACGACCCCCTTGTCACATTGTATGAGAGGTTATATAATGGTTTATATTTGATCATACACAAGGCCATATCATATGTAGTTTAATTATTCTCAAGCTGAATGTTTCATTTTATTTCTTGTGTACATTGCAGGCATTCTGTTGGCAATAAAGGATTCTTTCTATTCCTGAGATATTTTTTCTTTGATTATCTCATTGAGAGAACCCCGTAGAGGCCATTGCTATAATGCATTTTGCACTTACAATGTAGTTTGAACATGGCATAATTAGACACCTTTCAAGATTTACAGTAACAGTAAAAAACAACGGGATGGAGTATTCTTTCAGCAACAAATGGATTCAATCTGTGAAGTTGATTTCTTTTTTTTAATGTCTTTGTATCTTTAAAAAAAACCAAGCTGATGAGCCATTGGGGTTTTTCAGAAGACTAGCAGAGAGGGATCTAGTAACCACTTAGTAGGCAAAAACACAAAGATTAAAAATGAAAATTTATTTAGAATATCACTCTTAACCATACCACGATACATACATTGTAGCTGATGAATAATATATATATGATATATAATTAAGAAAATGCTGGTGGTTGCATTGAAACTGTATTGCATTTGAACATGCATATACTTAGAAGTGCATTCAACTTAATGGTAATGTAATCCATGTGAAAGGTTTGCATTGGTTTGCTTGGACCCTGTTATAAATGGCAGAACAAAGAGCTAGAAGGCAATGTCTATATATAAATTTGTCTACCTTTCTAACAAATTGAATAGTTAATGTGAAGCCCGGAAATGTTGCATTGATACAGACATAAGTATATACAAGTTCCTGACACCCAGCGCTATTCACACAACTTCCCCGGCTTGCTACAGATACTAAAATATTCCATCAAGACATCCTTGTAACCGTAACCCTGAGAAGTTCATTGATACAATCATTACCTTTTCTGGCCCTGCACACACCAGCCTTGTCCAATCTACCAGCCAGACCAAGGTGCTCCCTGAGATTGGAGCTGGCTTATCACTCCAATGTGCCCTAACAAACCCACTTCTGTGGACATGGCCTTCCATAGTACTGTTGTCTTTGGCGTGGCTGTCTCAAATGAAAATATTGCTTCACACTACTAGTATTTACAAGACGCAAACCCTGCGTTTACAATAACACTGTCTTACTACAGTACTTCAAGCTTTGAACAAAATGAAGTAATACTACATGTACTACAACGTTAACGCGGGAAAAACTAAGCATCGTGATACTGAACATTAAAGTGGATTAAGAGGCCATGCTTGATGGGGTTTGGTGCAAACTATGAAAGCCCCAGACAAAAATTATGTATGTTTGAAATACGAGTTACATATCAGTGTGTATGATACAAAATTCCTTGTTACCACGATCTTATGTTTACCAGTCGTGTTCATGTATACCTTCACAAGTGTCCGTCACCGGTATTGGAAAGCATATTATACTAGCTTAAAGTTTGATTAGGAAACCTAAACTTTATAATGTTTGCTATTGTTGTTGTTGTTGTTGTTGTTGCTGCTGCTCTACAGGCACATGTACATGTTGTACATGAACATGGCCATGCTGGGGTACATGGACAGCATGTAACCGAAGCCACGGTTGGACCGCTGGTACACATACGTCACCCAGAACAGAATCCTGTGGGACAGACAGACAAAACTCGTCATGACTTACGAATTGTGACGGCATCCAGTTCACACAAAAGACGGAAATCAGTTTTGCCTTGTGTTGGTAGCCCAAATCATTTTTACGGTGAAATAAAGATCTAGGTGTTGACTCACCTTCCCAGGAGGAAGAGCGCCACCACGGCGGGGATGACGGGAAGGTACTGGTCGGACAGGGTTGCTGCCATGGGAACCAGGTTGACGCCCACCAGGATGTACTGCTCCACCGTGTTGCCTAGGTAACGCCTGTGGACCTGCACGTAGTGCTCGTGGCCGGCCAGTGGGTCCAGGGCTGGCGTCATGATGCGCTTGTAGGTACAGAAGATCACGCCTGTAGGGTCATGAGGGTAGGGAAGGTAAAAATGGAACGCCGTGGCTATATACACTCCCGGTGTGTATATAAAAGACAAATGGATTTTATATACACTCCGAAATACTAGCCTCCTTGGTAGGCCCAAAACTTGGGTTTTTGTGAGTGTTTGAGGATTCAGGGGCACCAAGTTTAAACCTCGGTCTTCAAGTTTATCTTATTGGATGATGAAAATCAGAAAACAACACGGAAATCTCCACCGAAGTTCGGTCGAGCGGACCGCCCCGCCCCGCTTGCGCGGGGCCCGGACCTCCGCTCCCG